CCTAGCGTACCACCCTGGTACGCACAGCGTACTGAGTCCTTGGGCCATACGCGCTACGTACACGAAGTTACGCCCATCGTACTAACAGATTAAGCACTTTCTTTCATTAAGTGCTAAATACTCGATTTTCTCACGTCAAATAGTCAGATCTAATCTCATTAAGACATCCTAGGGCATAAATTCGGCAACTTTATGCCTTTGCATGTCTCATATGTTCACAACAACCCATTAAGACCTTTCCAAGGGTCTTAATCCAAGCATGAGGTCAAAACACTCATCAATACTTCATTTTTATGCTATAAATGGACCAAAGGACCTCATATCTAACCTTTTCAGCCTCTGGAGTTGCTCAACTCACAAGTGGAGGTCCAAAACCAACTAAAGGGACAAAATAGAAAACCTAGCTAGATCTAATGAATAAGATGGTAGGATCAAAGCTTTAAGCTCCTCAACGTGAACTAGATGCAGATTCTTGAAGCCCAAAGTCACTCCAAGCTTGCTTTAGCAACTCCTCCTTCTTGAATGGATACAAAAATGGCCACAAAATGCACTCCTTAAGCTCAAAACACACTCTTAAATGATTCTAGGGTTTTTAGGGTTGTTTGAAGGTTAAAGAGGCTGACTAGGGTGAGGCTCAAATGAGGTAAGGATGCTTATATAGGCCTCAAGTCCGGAAATTAGGGCTTGGACATCCGTCATGTATGCCCAACGTACATGTTGTCCCTCCACGATCATTCTTGCAAAGTACGCTAGGCGTACCCTTGAGTACGTCCATCGTACTTAAGGGACTTATTATGCAACATTTAAAATTTTCAAAGGCTTCAAAGGTAATACCTGATTTGGAGTGTTGCAAATAAATAAATACACAAATAAATAAATAAAAAGAGTGAGTGATGAAATGTTCAAAGGAAAGAATCTACAAAGCTTTGATGACAAAGAAGAAATATCAAGAAGAAAAGCTACAAATTATTGAAGATTCAAAGTATCAAATATTTTTATTTTCATTGTAATTTTCTTTTCTAGGTTATTTTATCGTATGTATGCTTGGGGATTTAACCAAAAATGACTTGAGGTTAAGAAAGTTTTCTGGGATGGATTCGGATGGATGCATAAAATGAGCGTTGTTCAAAGAAGTGGGCGAGTGTTTATGAGGATTGTAAGTATTTAGGATTAGGTGTCCTTAGGAAAAACTTTTGACACAAATACATGTGTTGCGGTCTTGGCATAATGGATGGATTCAATTGGGATTGTCTTATGTGATATAGGTGTGTTAAAATTCAGTGTTGTTTGGGGGCAAACAATAGTCAAGTGCGGGGTATTTTGATTTGAGCTTATTTAGTAATAAAAATCATTCATTATCTTATTAATTATTGTTGATTTTATATCATTTTATGGACAAAAGGTACTTAATTAGCTTAGTATTTCAATTTCAGTAGTAAAGACATGCTCGGGCAAAAAAGGAAGAGGATTTAGCAATTGGAAGCTTGGAAATTGAAGTTTGAAGAAAGAAGGCTGAAATACAAAGGAACTCGACGATTTGGACTTAAACTCAATAAGTTGATCCGAATATTCTCGATTTGAAGATGCCTTGTCGTACACGCAGATTTGAGAAAAAACTCGTCGAGTTGATCTTAAAAACTCGGCGAGTTAGGTTGATTTTAGGAAATCTGTATATATATATATATATATATATATATATATATATATATATATATATATATATATATATATATATATATATATCGTATTTTCCCGAAACCCTAACACCTTTTGGAGGCTAGCTGCGATTATTGAAGACCAGAAAAGATTCTTGGAGCTCTAGTTTTCTAGAATTCAACCTAAGAAGCAATTTAGAAGAGATCAAAGGCAAAAAATTATTCTTCTTTTCTTAATATTGTGTGCGAACCATGTTTGAATCATTAGATTTTGAATTTAGATTGTTATTTGTTGTAGATATGAGCTAAAAACTCTATACTTTTGTTTAGATGTAGATGATCTTATGACTATGGTTTGATTGAGTGGTTGGATTATTATTGATTTGGTTATTTATCTTGTTAAGATTGTTAAAGATCCTTATGTATTGATGATAATTATTTTCTATTAATAATCAAGTTACTGAGTTGCATGAACATCTTCTTGATTGCTTGAATCATATAGTTTTGTGAACACAAGATTGTATGCCTAGGAATAGCAAACATGAAACTAGGGTTAACTAGAAAATAAGTAAATCAATGTGTGAGCATGTGTGATGAACAACCACATATGAGTTGATTGAATTGAACAATTTAATGAACTAATATTACAAGTCTTACTTGATTTGAACTGAACACTAGGAAAATTGTTAGTTTAATCAATTGGCCACTATTTTAATTAACTTGTTTACTAAAGGATTAGTAATAGTGAACATGAACCTAATCACATTAGAAATCGGTAACCATTGATATATTGATCCACTGTAATTGCCACGAAATCAACCATAGGAATAAGCGAATCGAATCTGAATAGAAGTCTCTTTTATCATTGAATCTAGTTGTCCTTTTTGTTCTTCTTAGTTGTTAATTGTCTTTGTTTAAGTGTTATTTGATTGATTAAGTTTCTAGTCTTGCACAACTAGAGAAAACCCCTCTTTATTACTTGTTTTACTTAGATAATTCTAGTATTTAATTTAATTATTACCGTTCCATGTGTTCGATACCCTACTTGCTTGAACTATATTGCTAATTGATAGGTATAATGCCTTTCGTTTGTTTACTTTTGTGTCTAAGTTAGTAGGATTAAAACTAGTGCATTCCACACACATCAATTTTTCAAGCCCTAGTCCTTGTGTGTGTTGAGCATGAGTGTGTGTATGTGTTCTTAGTGTTGAAGAAAGAAGAAGGGATTCTTTGAGAAGCTTTGGTGTGTGATTTAAGCTTGTCGATTTGAGATCTTCATCTCTTTGGGAAGCTCCGGATGGTATAAACTCTTGAACTTTACTCGTATTTCTTAAAAATCTAGCCATATGGAGTTTTATGAGTTTTTCCCCTTTTCTTGGACTTGATGAGTAAATGCTACTCTAAGACCAAAGGAGCTACCTTTTCAGAATATTTGAGTTGTGTTAAGTCATAAAAATGCTCTCTTGACTCACTTAGTGCTTACATGCAAAGTGTAGATGTCCTTAGTGGTTAAGACCAACTAGGAGGTTGGTTTTGGGTCTTAATGATGCATGCATAACCATAAAGTTGGAAACTTTATGGTTAAGAGCACCTTCTTGGACTTGGATCTGGTTATTGGACGTTTGGACTGAATGGAATAAGCTCTTTGTCGAAGTTTTGAATGGCCACCACATTTACTGGGCGCACCAGGGCGTACGTTGGGTGTAGGTGTTTGGCATCGCATACTTGGTCAAGGCGGAGTACACTGAGCGTACGGCTAGGTACGCCCTGCATACTCGTTCTATTGGCTTTAGAAGTTAGGGCTTCAAGTTTTGGGCCACCTTTGGGCTTGGATGCTTGGGCCCTTATTGGACCATCTGAGTATGGGTGTTTTGGGCTAAGTGAAGAGATTGACCTTAGGTTAAGGCCCAAGTAGGAGTTTGGGCCTAATTTGGTAAATTGGGCAGATTATGGGCCTTGAGTGATTACTTAGTTTTGGGCCTTTTGGATCAAGATTTTGGCCTAGGTCTTAGCCCAACTACGGGAAGGTAAAGTGGTCTTTTTACCTTAATGATGGACTATTAGCCTTGGTTGTAATTAATTGGATGATTATTTTGTTGTGATAGCACGAAGATTTTAGTCAGCCATCAGCCGGAGACTTTCAGTATGATTCAGCAGTATGAGGTGAGTTTTCCTCACTATACTTATGGGTCAAAGGCACCAAGCCCCACCCTTTAGATTTTTATCCTGATTATCGTATGATTGAGTACAGTACTGATCTGTTAGATCTGTATCCTAGTAGATAAGATAATGTTATGCTTAGTGATCTGTAAGATATGTGTGCTTGTTATTGGCTAGTTAATTGTATAATTATTTGTTATATATGTGTATCGAAACGGTGTATTTGTGGTTGGTTTGAGATGATCCTGCTTTGTATTGAAGGCCAATAGACCCAATGCATCCTAGATAGACTGAACCTGTAATATAACTAGTGTTTACTCATGATCCGAAGCTCCTGTTTTCCGTTCATAAAGAGATCCGATCGTCAAAATCGATAAAAAGGTCCTTATGGACCAAGATCCAAAGGGATCAATCTTTTTGGGAGAAACTGCCCAAGGAGAGGAAAATATGACTTCCGGATTAGAGATAATAAGTAGAACAAGATAAAATTGTATATCAAAACAACTTCTGGCATCATCAGTAGAACAAGATACAATCGTATATCAAAACGACTTCTAGCATCATCGAAAGGATCAAAACCACATTTATGCAAAATAAAATAAAATAAAATAAAATAAAATAAAACAAAACAAAACAAAACAAAAACTTTCTAACAGCTAGTTGCAAGAACCGGATTCCAAACTGGTTTCAACGGCTAGAAAACTGGTATAAACCAGCGGATTATACCGAAACCGGGCCGGTTTGGTTATTGGATGCGGATTGGTTCTAAAACCGGTTTCACGCCACAAACCAATTTTCATCTGCACCTCTAGTGTCATACACCAACATTTACCCAAAACTTTCGAATATTGTATGCACATCAAAAGCTTTCTACAGATTTTAAGAGTTCTTATGAAGATAGTGGAAGTATCATGATGAATCTTCCTACACCATATAATTATATTATGTCACAAAGTTTTATTCTAAGAGAAACTGTAGCAGTTAGTTTAGATTAATCTCAGCTACTGCTGAGGAGGTGCAATGTTATATAAAGAGGAAGATGTTATTTAGGCAAACCATTTCAATCATATAAAGCACACAAAAGTAGAAGTACAAGGAGGAACCTAGAAGAATCATACCAAAGACAAGCATCAATTATAGCAATATGTTAGGAAGAAATACTGAAATCTAAATGAAAACATATATGCGTTAATGAGAAACTCACATTTTTTTTCTTTTTGAAAACTGGCCAACTAGATACTTCAAACTAAAAGCGACAGTATTCAACACATTAACACTATCAGACACAACATATCACAAGAAAGTAACAGTTAATAACACTTATACGATCCATCAAACATAAGTTTTTAAAATCCACCAAATGCAAATTATTCAGAACCTTTAAGAAAAGATACTAAAATCCATTAGAAATTGTCTTCAACAGCCTCAAACTCTGGAACTTGGTCCTGCAACTGAAGGATCTCCCTTAAGCAACTGAGAAATCAAATGGGAAATCAGTAAAACAATAAGTATTATACTATAAGCAAAGAGTATAGTACATAAACATTAATAATAATTCAGAAGCCAGATGTATTCCTCTAGTTTGTATTATGTGATAAACGAAAGAAAACATGAAAGTCTACAGTTTGTAGAAACATACCTTACAACGTTTCTTGATATCACCTAGATGCCTCTTTTTCATTGGACTCCCATTAACATAAGGAGATACAAGAGTTTCCACATAGATAGGGGCACCAATAAAATCCCTATTCCTGAAAAGGAAAACATCACGATACCATGACTTTTTGTAACGAATGTAATGCTTCAACGTCTTCAAGGAGTGTAAAACTACTCTTCTCTCACAATCCTTTCCAACTATTCCCCAAGACTGCTTTACATTGTAGTTCGTCATCATCCATATTTTATCAATAACCTTATCATAATGAAATACACATAAACATTCATCCAAAACCCCTAAACGCATAGTTGGAAGGCTAGCATTACTAGAATCAGATTCATACTCCTCATTATCAGGTTGAGGAATTTCTTTAAATTCCTCTCCGGATAAACAAAACGAAAGAATCACTTTCTTGTTATCTTGTTTCATAACCCAGTGAAGTGCTCCATTGCATAAGATACCAATCCTACCATCAATAGAATAGCTCACATCCCCGATTACTTTCCATTCATTTGATTTCAAAGCTAATACTTGAAAACAAGTCAAGCCATCACCTTTAGTGAATCCTATCACAACCTTGAAATCATCTGCAAATGAATCATAGCCAAAACCCCAACATAACTTGGCGTCAGTGATATCATGCTCTTTTATTCTTTGTGCCTCTCTAGTTGCAGGATTGGCTACTAAAATTTCAGAAGGGGATGGAGAGATGCATATGAGGCCATGGGAAGAACCAAAAAGATGACAATCACGATGATCAAAGAATTTATCATCAAATTCATAGTGACGAGACTCATAGGGAGAAGCAATCCTTCCCATAACAATCCTCCTATCTATATAACTTTCGTTGCAATCAAGATGGTAATTAAGATTCATATGGAAGTTTACGAAACTAGTGCTAGAGATGAAAATTTTCCATGACTTACATACGCTTTTGCATTTGATTAGATCGCTCATATCCAATCTTTTCATTATTTCTTCAAGGACATCGTTGTGAAGGTTTGCCATTGAAACCCTTGTGTCGGTGACCACGAAAGGAAAGATGAGAGGGAGGTAACCGCACGGAAGTGAGATATTTATTTCTATGTAGTATTTATTAGGGACTTTCATAACCAACACTCATAAATACTAAACATGACACGAAGAAACTATTGCCATGATATTTTACCATAAATAGACATTGAACTTTGCAATTATGCCGTATATGATTAGTCCTTCAATACCCATAAGATCATCAAGATCTTCTTCGTTACGAATTACAAGTAATTCTATTTTGCTTCCTTTAATAAGTCCACTAACATCTCTTTATTACAGATAATTCGCCTTTATTTTAAAGTAAACACTGTGATCCTAGCCTTCCACCATAAAAATCCAAACTATTCGGCCCTTTAAACACCCATAAAGCATGCATCGGTAAAATGTTGGTTTTGAAATAAAATTAATGGAAAGTCATTGAAGGTGTGAACTATATTACCTTTATCAGTAGAATTACTATCTTATGAATAAGAATGCTTCACTTAATTAAACGATGTTTCACATCAAAATTGGAAGAAACTTACGTTAGCATTATGGACTTTGACCTAATTTCTTCTAG